TATATATATATATTGAAACGTAACAGAAGAGGAATCTGAAAAGGAAAGAAACTCATCATCATAGTATGTAGAGATAAACTCTAAATGCAGTCTTCTAAAGCTGGCCGACATTAATTCCATTTTTCCCCATTACAACTCCACCTATTCCATTTTATGCCTACAAATCTTTATATTTATGCCTATTATATGCAACCTTGGTTTTTAGAATGGTGATATTTTTCAACTGTTGACAGGCCTTGTTATTTTTAATTGATGGTGTTTATGCAGTAGAATCTAAAGGGCTGGACGCTAAACAACATTGCACCCCCAGCTTTTTTTGCCTACCACTAAAAATTTCCCAAGCACATAAAAATTCACTCAAGTAGTAAACAAACACCATGAAACATTCTTCTCATACAATATTAGGGCGTATTTCTGCTGAATAACTAATAAAAACACGGTAACACGAACGTTATAGGTGGGCGGAGCTTATAATAGGGAGCTTTCGATTGCACGACGACGATAGGACGTAGAACGTAATGACGTCACTAAAAGTCATCTGCTCATGCGAGAACGTACTCTACGTCGTCGAGTAGATTCTGGAACGCAATTTAGCCAAATCTGCGTATGCGTACGACGCCAGGTAGGACGGTCACGCTTGAGTGATTCCGTTCTAGCGTCGCGTCGTCGCACATATGACGATCACCTACGGAAGTTGAAGTTGACCTTACTTCTGTGAGCTGCACATGGTGCGAAAGAAGTAAACAACACACTGCAAAGTATGACAAAATTATGGTAACCCTAAATCATGTCATCCTGTTGGTTTCATTTTTTTTCTAAATCTTCGCCCCGAATTTTCCGCGAACGAACAATCGAACCAACGAAGGTCAATTTGGGTCACCGACGGGTCACATGACTAACACGGTATTGAGTTGCAGCTAAAAAGTGTACCACAAAACAAAACACCTGTTTGTGTCTAAACGCCAACCAAACGAATGCGTATTAAAACACGCATTTTTAGAACGCATTTCTAACCGTGGGAAAAAACCGTGTTTTTTAATAGCCATTTAAAAACACGTGTTTTTTTTAATGTTTTGTGTTGCTTATTTTGCTCAGCAGAAACAAGCCTTTAAGTGTTATATCAAAATTGTTACGTCAGACATGTTAAAAGAATAAAAGGAACTTGATTCTTAGCGACGTCTTCGTGGTCAAGTGGTATGACGTTCGCTCTATGTGAAAGGTCCGAGTTTTTTCTTTATTCTTCTTCTGTTAAGTTTCAATTTATATTATTCATTGCATTATTTCGCTTGCTGTTTCTGGGGTTTTCCATGCCTTTAAATCACTTTATATAATATACAAGTATCTCAGTTGAGAACCAACAAACTCAATGCACAGAAGAGGGAGTATCTTATTGATTGATAGGCTATTGCTGGCAGTCTACCCACATGCGATTTTATTCTTATATCAAAATTGTGACGTCAGACACGTTAATAAATCATAGGAATTTAGATTTTACCGGCGCAATTGTCTCACCACGACGCCTTCGTGGTCAAGTTCGCCATGTATGCGAGGGGTTCAAGTCCCGGTGGAGGCCGAGTTTCTTTCCTTTTCTGATTCCTCTTCTGTTTCAATGTATATATATATATATATACATTTCACAATGGTTATGTTGATATATCACGATGATGATAATAGTGATACAGATGAGTCACACTTACTAAAAACCAATATAATTGTTGGAGCCTACATAATAAGGTTTACAGAACTAAATAGTTCGTGATATTACCGATTTATTTTTTAGGCAATTCTAGGAGCAAGCATAAGCCTGTTTGGTATTTATTTCAATGAAAATTACAACAACTGCATCAAATGGGGTGCGAGGTTCGTCATAGTCAGTGTCATTAGGAACATTTGTGGCGCTTTCATGAATGGAATTGCAGGAACAATTGTTAGTGTAAGTGTTTGTTCTATCATGTGTATCAAAAATCCAAACTTCAGTTTATTTCATATTAAGGTACAGTGCCGTGCTACAGTATATATTTTTTCGTATTCAATGAGTCAATTACAGAACAAAATGATCTTGACCGTCATTTCATCACAACCATCATCACCACCACTGTCATCACCGATGCTGTCGTCTCCGCCGCCGCCGTCGCAGTGGTGGCGCCAGGACCTGCCCGACGGAGGGGCTAAAGGCCCCGACGGGGGGGGGGGCTAGTGGAGCGAATTGAGTCTCGCTTGGCTGGGGGCCAGGGGGCCGCCTAGGGCCCCCGGTGGGGGTGCAGGGGGAGAAGCCCCCCGGAAGCCACGGATATTTGATGAATTATGGCGAATTTTTATTACTTATTTGATAGACATCGAGTTACTATAATATGACTTCATGTAGGCTATGCTTTCTAATGTTGAAATCAGCTTCCAAAACCAAAACATTTTGAATTAAGCAAGAAAAAAAGAGTATGCGATGTAACCAACTAATTTATTTTCAAATCCTCATTCTTGAAAGTGAAATTCTATATTTTGGAAATTTTGCATGAAATCTGTCAACCACGCTGTCATGGTCGAGGTTGCTTCACCTATCACGATGTATTCCAACCATCATGAAGCTATCTAGATGAGCATTTGTCATAACAGAACGCAAATTATTTTTAATTAGTCTCATTGA